TACCCCCCACTAGGTAGTGAATGGGTCCCGGGGAGGCCTGTGCCGAAGCCTTGGCGATTCTATTAGGCGTTCCCGAAGGAATTGGCTTGGATTGGCGCTGAGCCGGTCAGCTATGCCGCGTTTGTCCTCACAAAGTTTCGACATGGGAGGAAGTCTCCGCAAGGAGGGCCGCATTGGGGGTGCTCTGCCGGACCCCCAGCAGGTGGCGTAGGTAGCTGAGTTGCAGCTTCTCGGCCGCGCTGCCGGCACTGCCACGATGGCAGCACGCCGCTTTGGCCGCCAGCTGCACGCCCCACACCTCAGCACCATGGGACAGCACCGAGTCCACCATGGTGCCGAAAAGCCGCAGCTGGACGGGCGCCGCCTCGATGCCCACCTCTGCGCAGCGGGTCCGGCAGTTGTGCATAGCCAGGCGCGCCAGCTGTGCCCGGGCTGGCGCTGCTGCCCCTGCCAGGCAGGTGCTGGAGTGAAAGGCGATGCCGAGATACTTGAAGCTGGTGACTGCCGCCAGCTGCTGGCCGGCGAAGGTGAGGCCTGCTGCCTCTGCTGTCTGCTGCGCCGCGTGCTGGGTCCGCCGCCCACTGAGCAGCATGAGCTTGGTCTTGTCGATGTTGACAGTGAGGCCCCACTGCCGGCAGTACTGCTGGAGTAGGTTTAGCTGCCGCTGCAGCCCGGCCGCTGAGGTGGCCAGCAGGACCATGTCGTCCGACCCCCAACCGCCCCCCTCGCGGGGAGGGATCGCTCCGTGAAAGCAACGGCCCGGAACCACCGCCACGCTCCCGGGGCGAAGCTGTCAGGGGAGCACAGTACTTGGCCAGAGGCCGTTGGCCACCGGTTCCCCAGATCTGGGCCCTATCCCAGCGTTGCCCAGCACTGGGCAGGGCTCTGCTGGCTTGTGTGGGCTCACAGTCTGGTTTCAGCAAGAAGAAGCTTGCAGCACAGACTTGCAGAACAAGGTCTGCTGAACTTCCCACCAAACATGCACTACCCAGCGCAAGTGCACATGCAACGCGAACAGCGCTCTTGTAGGCAAGCCCCACTCCTTTAGCGCTGGAGCAGAGGCGGTGACCAGCGCTGCCCAGCGCCAGCGCCGCTCAACACTGTCCGCGGGGTGCTTAGCAGCCCTGGTCGCTGGGATAACCTGGCCAGAGCTGGGCAGCGCTGGGTTAGGCCCCAGAGGCATGCATGTGGCGGCGGGAAAGTGGTGCCACATGTGTTACAGTCATCCCGCTATGATAGGCCGCGTGAGCCGTGCAACGCCACCTTACCTCTACCACCACAGACAGACAGACAGACTTACCTATATTCATTCATTCATTCAGCACACAGCCCGGCCGCCTCTTGCTCGAGGGCGGCCCACTTTGGCCTGGGCAGCCCGGGCCGCCCTCCCCCCCGGGCGCATGTTCGGTGTTGGAGGGGTGTGCCCAGCGATAGGGGGCCCCTGAAGGCATGCGCCGAGGCCGGGAAGCGTGGTTCGGCGCTGCTGCACGCTTGGCGATTTGACCAGAACCACGTGCCGCCGAGCTGCGGCCGCAGTTTCCGGCCCACGGTCTACGGTCGCAGCCACGGGACTCGGCGGCACGGCGTTTGGGCCCAAGCTTGCTGCCGCCGCCGCCGTGCCCGGGGGGCAGCGCGGCGGCGGCGGCGGCACGCTGCGACGCCCCCGTGCTGCCGAGCTGCGGCCGTAGTTTCCTGCCAGAAGCCCACGGCCACAGCCACGGGACTCGGCGGCACGGCGTTTCGGTCCACGGCTTGCTGCCGCCGCCGTCGCAGGGGTGCTGCCTGCGGCGGCGGCGGCACGGCGTTTGGGTCCTCGGCTTGCTGCCGCTGCCGCCGCCGCATGGGTGCTGCCTGCGGCGGCGGCGGCAGCGCACGTGGCAACCCCCCGCGTTTCCTTGCCTCCCATCCACCGGACCCCGTCCTGCGCTTCACTTTGTTTAGGGAGGGGCTGCTCACTGCTCATTGCTCATTGCTCATCGCACACTGCTCAACGCTCATTGCCCTATATCCCACCCAGCCGCAGGACTCTACTGCCGCCCGCGCCCCGCCCCATCTGGCCGCTTGCGCGTCCCATCCCCCCTCGATGGGGCCCGCCCACACCGGGGCCTCCCCCCTCCCGACCACTGCTTTCTCAACGGCCCCGAGCCGGGGCTGCCCTCATTGCATACATAGTGCGCCTTTCCCTGCTTTTCTAGTGACCTAGCGTTCCGCACTGCCGTTTGGCCAGCCCATGCTCCCGTACCGTTGCGTTTCTCCCCAATGCGCCATGCCACTTTGCCAGTCATACACACGTTTCGATGCGTGCCCTGTCAGTTGCTTGCGTTGCATGTCGCCTTGCTCCACCCCTGTTTTATTGCTTTCTCTGCTTTCGCCCGGTTCCCGTCCCGTTTCGGCGGGGAGTCTATGTTGCAAGCTAGTTCTTGCTTTACCAGACTTTAAGCCCACACAAGCAACAAGCAATCGCCACCAGGCTGATGTCCTTGGCTCTGCTGCCCCTGCCCCGAGCGCGCCGCTCAGTCCCGCCTCCCTGCATGAAGCAGACCATTCTGGTGGCCACCACCAAAGTGGTGCGTCAAGGATGGCGTCTCGTAATAGCACCACCGCGGATAGGGGCGCGCGATTCTTCTTCAGAGCTTTCTGAGCGACATTGGCTATCAGCAAAGTAGCCACAGCAGGGCACACCGCCCAGGGCATGCAGCGGTAGCGGCAGCGCCGGCAACTGCCGGCCACGCCGCCGCTTGGCCAGCCACAGCCTGCCCAGAGCAAGGCGCCGCCACAACAACCACTTGGCAAGCAGAACCCCCGACGCCAGGCGCCTGGCAGATGTTTGCACAGTGGGAGGCAGCAGTCCTGTCCTGTAACCTGTGCGACATGGGACCAGCTGCAATCCCGGCAGCAGAACCAGCGTGCCAGACAGCAGGCGCACCAACACACGCAGCACACCCGCGTCCACTCCCCCCACAGGGCGCCCCCATGAGCACTGCGGTGGGATCACATGTGCATAAGGCACAACGCAGCATGGATATAGCCTGATTGGACACGTCAAGGCCCCAGATGTTGAGCGGGCGCTGCGAGCGCTCAATGTGCCTGCGAGAGCAGTGCCAGAGGAGGAAGGCAGCCGCGGTGGGGGAGCGCCGGTGGCGGCGGCCGTGGCAACCGCACACAGGTATCTGTGGCGGTGGTGCCTACTACAAGGGCAACCGTTAGGTGCTGCCTCACCTCTTGTACAGCACACAGACCGGCCGCCTCTTGCTCGAGGCGGCCCACTTTGGCCTGGGCAGCCCGGGCCGCCCTCCCCCCCGGGCGCATGTTCGGTGTTGGAGGGGTGTGCCCAGCGATAGGGGGCCCCTGAAGGCATGCGCCGAGGCCGGGAAGCGTGGTTCGGCGCTGCTGCACGCTTGGCGATTTGAACAGAACCACGTGCCGCCGAGCTGCGGCCGCAGTTTCCGGCCCACGGTCTACGGTCGCAGCCACGGGACTCGGCGGCACGGCGTTTGGGCCCAAGCTTGCTGCCGCCGCCGCCGCCGTGCCCGGGGGGCAGCGCGGCGGCGGCACGCTGCGACGCCCCCGTGCTGCCGAGCTGCGGCCGTAGTTTCCTGCCAGAAGGCCACAGCCACGGGACTCGGCGGCACGGCGTTTCGGTCCACGGCTTGCTGCCGCCGCCGTCGCAGGGGTGCTGCCTGCGGCGGCGGCGGTAGCGCACGTGGCAACCCCCCGCGTTTCCTTGCCTCCCATCCACCGGACCCCGTCCTGCGCTTCACTTTGTTTAGGGAGGGGCTTCTCACTGCTCATTGCTCATTGCTCATCGCACACTGCTCAACGCTCATTGCCCTATATCCCACCCAGCCGCAGGACTCCACTGCCCGGCCCGCGCCCCGCCCCATCTGGCGCCTGGGGGGGCCCCATCCCCCCTAAATGGGGCCCGCCCACACCGGGG